CAGAGAAACACTGTCTTTAAAAAAAAAAAAAGAGCAAGAAAAAGAGAAGAAAAGGACGCTTTCAAAGCCAGTACAGCCTCTAAGTCTAGTGTTTCTTGGGTGGGCAGGCTTGTATGGCCTCTGTGCACTCTAGTCCACAGCCATTCACTCCACTGACATTCCCACAAGACCTGCAAGGATTCTGCCAGAAAGGGTCCAATGGCTAGGTCCCCAGCCACACACACAGCACATGTGGAGACATCCTTATTGAAGGAGAGTGAGGCCATCAGAGTCTCAGGGGCAGACTCACAACCATTCCCTGAAGGTGAGACCTAGGCCCACATGGCCCACTCCTGGCATGTACACATCTCCTACACATGTCTCCCTCCCCCTCTCTCTCACACTCATGCACACACACACACACACACACACACACACACACACTCAAACAGATCACAACAGTCACTTAACTGCACACACTGACACACACACAGTCCCCGAAGATGACAGGAACCCAGCCAATCCTAGCTGCATCCTCAGACACCTGCTTGTAGTTGTCATGAACCCAAAATGTCTGAAGGATTTGGGGAGGCCCATTTCCCCCAACTGCCACACTCCAAGGCTCCCAGAGAAAGATCCTTGTCTTCACTCTGAGATAAAGCAATAGATTGCCTTAAAACTTTATCCTAGGAATGAAAATGGCAACTGTGGAGATTATATTAATAGTCATAGCCACTGCAGTAGCAGCAAAATCTACATTTGCCAGCATTTATTGAGCACCAAGTGTTAATATTCTGATCTGCACCTTGAAATCCCACCCCTTGGCGCCACCCTGCATCCTGACATAAAAGCTTCATTCTAAAGAAAAACTCTTCTCCCTCCTCTCTCTCTCTCTTCTGCTTTCCTCCCATGAGGTACACACCCTCGACCTCTATCTATCTATCTATCTATCTATCTATCTATCTATCATCTATCTATCTGTCTATCATCTATCTAGCTAGCTATCTCTATCTCTCTATTATAATAAACTCTCCATGTGGATGCAGTGTCTGGGTTGTGAATTACTGGCCACCACCGCCGCAAGCCGCCACCAGGCCTGCATGGCATGCATCTGCCCAGCCTACCACTGCATCTGCCCAGCAAGTTTCCCTGCATGCACGAGATACCCTCAGGGATCCCCCCCCATCCTGCACAATAATTCATAACATTGGAGCCCCATGTGGGGCTGTTAAACTGATACCCTGGTCATCAAACATTATCAGATCTGAGAAGGATACATTTAAGAAGTGAGACAGCTTTCCAGCTACCTAGGCAGCAATCCCAAGTCTCTCCATGGTCGCTGAGGCGACAGAGGCCCCAAAGGCAGCACTTCTTTAGCTGATAGGCCCAGAAGATATAACGGATTTTTTTTCCTGTGGAGTAGAAATTTGGAGAGACTGACCCACCTTGACTCTGCAGTATGGGGCAATTGGTCCTCCATAGTTCCACTTATTCACAGTCTGAACAGGATCTCAGCTTTTCACTGTGTGGCCAGCCTTGCCATGAGCTTCTGAATGGAAGTTCTTGGCCATTCATCTTCTTGGAGGGCATATAGGATGCTTCCAGGAGCTGACATGTCTCTTTATTATATTATATATATTATATTATACATAATATATATTATATTGTTATAGTATATAAATATAATAAATATATTAAATGTTCCCTGCCTGTACAGCCAGGTCAGATAACCACATGCTTCTGACAAATGCCCCATTGCCCAGCCTTTGACTGCCTTTCAGCCTTTGACTGCCTTTCAGCCTTTGACTGCCTTTCAGCCTTTTGGGAGCCCTGACAACAACACCCAATGCCAGCTCGAAGCAGTTCCAGAAGAGCATACATTGTCCCATGTTCCCTGTCCAGAATAGGCTGAAATACTGGGTCAAAAGGCAACCCTCTGGCATAGAGGACTGATTGGCTATCTAATGCCCGCTGATGTTTGTTAATTAAAATGGTTCTACAATAAGAGACTTGACCCTCTTTATGCAGAACCAGGGAGGTATTGTATGACCTTAAAAATGTATTATTTCTATATGAATCAATCAGGTTGGAGTTTCTGGTCCACCATGAGGGTCCTTTTCCTCTTTGCAGAGGGTCCTTTTCTCAGAGTTGGATTGCACCCTGACTCACAAGTCCCTTTTCTCCTGTTCTCATTCAGCCTTGGATCTTTCCCCTGTCACTCTTCTTTGCCTTCTCAAGAGACAGCAAGTCCTAGCCTTATGGAAGCTGCTAAGATATGGGAGACTTAGGGAATATTAGCTGATAGTCAGCCATTCATACCTAATAGACAGGCAGTCCTCAAGTGCTCAGAGATCTGAAGAATATGGCATTTAAAATGTTAATCAAAAAAGCTTATTATATCAGACAAAGACTCCGAGATGCTTACCCAAGGTCTCCAAAGATGTCTCCATCTGGACGATGGCAACACTGACCTCTGGGCAAGTTGCCCAAATGCAACACCTGCCACCAGGACTTGGCCCAGACTGTGGACAAACAGCAGGATATCAGGGACTTGATTGCACCCCTTTTTGCCTAGATAAGATAAGATCAGCCTTCTCTATGTCTCTCTTCCATGGGAAAACTCCCACCTCATGGTCCTGATGGGCTGAAGATTGATGCTGTTCTGAAGATTGATGCTGTTCTGATACTTCTGCCAATATGGAGACCTGGGTATAGCTAACTGGATATGGACTGGTCCCTGTCATTTTTAACAGATTTGAAAGCTGCTTGGTCTGCACTCAGTCAGATATGATTTATCCTTCTCAGATCTCTGAGATTCCATTTGATGGAATCAAATTTCAGCTGCTTTCTCAGTTCTCTATACAAAATTCACAAGTCCCTGTCTCCCAGGTGCAGGAAAGCTCTCTCACTTCTTCTTAAATTTATCCTTCTCAGATCTGACAATGTTTGATGACTAGGGTATCAGTTTAACAGCCCCACATTGGGCGCCGATGCTATGAATTATTGCGTGGGAGTGGGAGGGATCCCAAGGGTATCCTGCGCATGCAGGAAAACATGCTGGGCAGATGCAGCGGTGGTGGGCTTGGCAGATGCACACCATGTGGGTATGACAGCAGCGGTGGCGGTGGCAGCAGCGGCTAGTAATTCACAACCCAGACATTGCATCCACGTGGAGTGTTTATTATAATAGAGAGATGAAGAGAAAGATAGGGAAGAGACAAAGAGAAAGAGAGAGAAAGGTCAAGGGTGTGCACCTCATGGGAGGAAAGCAGAAGAGAGAGAGAAAAGAGCGGAAAGGGAGGAATTTTTTTCTTAGAATGAGGCTTTTATGTCAGGACGCAGGGCGGCACCAAGGGGTGGGATTTCAAGGGGCGGATCAGAATATTAACATTGGTTTCCAAGGGGCGGGTCAGAATATTAACACCAGCTACATACACACAAGGAGCTATGGTAAACCTTCTGTTACCTTCCCTCCAACCCTCCCAACAGCCGAGAACAGGGTAGGAAGAAGTGTCACTAAAAACCCATTTACGAATGAGCAAACCAAGGCTCCGGGGAATTAAAGTTCTTGTTTCCTGTATATTGCAGCATCCGGCTCCAGGGCTGATTCCAGAACATATCCTGACCCACAATGCCATAGGGTAAGATCCAAGGATATTGGGCCTGTTCCCATGCCTCACATTATGCATACACTCCTGGCCCTCAGGAGATGATGTGGGTGGGGCTTAGCTGTGGAGAATGTAAGAATAGTGGTGTGTCAGGGAGTCTGACGTCCTGTTCTCCTCAAAGCCCTACCTATCCTTTGCATAGTCAGGTTTGGGCCCTGGGTGTGGACTTGGAGACTGCCCTTTGAAAGGAAAGGCATGTGGGAGACCCCCCACAGAGAGATGCTTCGGCTCTCCATGGCTTGAGAGGGTGAGAGCCTCTCAGAGCCCTCACCTCCCCGCCCCTCATTTGGAGCCCCACCCCCAGAGAATGGGAGGTAGGCCCTGATAAGTTCTCCACAGGAGACAGAGGCCTCCACGTGGGTACCAAGAACCCTGGATTGCCCAAGCCCACCTAGAATTGTGCAGAGGAAGCCTGTGTCTGGGTGACATTCCTAACCCCAGCTAAAGGGGACACCTTCTGTGGCCTCCACTGCTGCCCTGGGGCCTGGCCAACAGCTGTTCCGAGCTGAAGGCTCGCTCTGTCCCACCCACCCAGTCAGCTCCTAGGAGACACGCAAGCAGCCTTGATGTGTCTGTCAAAGGTTCTTGACAGCTGTCTCCCAGGAGGGCAGCTACTGTCACAACCACCTCCCACATCTGGCTGCGGGACTGAGACTAGGTGTCCCGCCCATCAGCAGACAGAAATACTTAGCACGCAAGGACCGCCAAGGACCTCGGCCCATTGGGACTGAAAGGGGTCCCTGCATCCCCATTTATAGATGAGGCCAGGCACTCCCCTTCCAAGCGGCTCGCTACACTACCTCAAGAACTCTAAGCCAGGCCTGGATTCTCCTCCTTGCCTCAGGCCCACCTCCACTTGCACAGGCCCGATCAGACCAGAAAAGTATTTCAGGGGCACCCAGGACATAAAGGACAGAGAAGGGACAGTTAGACTCCACTCAGAGTCCTTGCTCTGTCCTCTCAGTGGACGGATCCCCTCTCCTGTGGGACCCACCGCTCTTCTTGGCCACTAGAGTAATACCAAATCTGAATTCATTTTGATCAGCATTCATAACCTGGGCACCATTCTTTGTACCCTATAGGACAGTTACTACATCTCTAACATCCATTATTTATTTATTTGTTTGTTTACTTATTTATTTATTTTATGTGCATTGGCGTTCTGCCCTGAGTGTCGGATTTCCCTGGAACTAGAGTTACAGACAACTGTGAGCTGCCATGTGGGTGCTGTGACTTGGACCCCAGTCCTCTGGAAAAGCAGTCAGTGCTCTTAACCACTGAGCCATCTCTCCAGTCCCCTTGACATTTATTCTTAAGATGCCAGTGACACCCAGCCTCCACCCCAAACCCCCCATTATCAACAGACATTGCCAATGTGCCCCGGGGGGGAAAAACCACACCCAGGTGAGTACAGCTGATTCTAAAATGACTTCAGTCCCAGCACCTGTGAAGCTGAGACAGGCAGACAGTCAAGGCCAGCCCGGGTTACATAGTGAATGTGAGGCCAGCCTGGGCTACATGACACCATGTCCAAAACAAAACAACAACATGTGTGATCTGGTCCAGGAAAAGAGACAGCAGTAAGCCTTGCCTCCCGTGATCCCAGCTTCTAAGGATGTGCTCAGGACAACGGAGTATGTGTGCAAAGTCATGAAAAAAGCCTGGAGCCAGAGGAAATCATTCAAGCCTGGGGCCATCTAGGAAGGCTTCCTGGAGGAGGAGAGAGATTTATTTATCCAGATGCAGGTATCCTGGAAAGAAAAGAGTGTGCAGGAAGTCAGTCTCAAGAGCAGTTGTTCGTGGTGGGGAGGAGTCTACTATCTTCCCCAGAGACACTTGATAAAGCCACCAGGAGAGACTGTACAGGCAGGGCTGAAGGCTACCTGGCCTCTGATGGGGGGCAGGGGCAGGCCCAGGGCAGGCAAGCCTACCCCGGTCTGATGTTTCCCCCAGTCCATGTGGGCTTAGGGAGAGGCAGTCCCCATCAAGGGCCGACTTCTGGGCTTGCAGAGATTTCAAGGGCCCAGAAAGCCTAGTGAACTTTGTCTTGGGAAGCCTGGCTCCCCGCACCCCTTCCTCAGCCTGGACTTCCTGCTGCCTAGGTGCACTTTTGACTCACGGTGGACGTCCAGAAGGCGAGACCCCTGCTGGAGGTCACAGCGGAGGAATGTGGGGTAGGGGGCTGCCCACAGGGAGCTTCTGGGGGAACATGCCAGCAGGGGGCGCTGTGGGCTCAGGCACACAGCCCAGGCTGGGGGGGGGGGGCGGAGAGGCAGCGGCCACATGGTGAGGCCTCAAGGCTGCTAGCCTGATCTCCACCCCAGGGAGCTTGCCTGCCTGCCGGCCTGTGCTCAGCAGGGTGTCTGCCTCCTCACAGCTCCCCAGGCCCACCCATCCTCCCTACCTCATCCGAAGAAGAAGAAGAAGAAGAAGAAGAAGAAGAAGAAGAAGAAGAAGAAGAAGAAGAAGAAGAAGAAGAAGAAGAAGCAGGGAATGCGGGGCCCATTTGGCAGACGGTCAGAGACCGCAAAAGCATAAACGGAAGACACAACAGCCTGCCGCAGATGCAGCTGGACCAGCATGCCTCCAGTCCCCTGTGGCTGGGACAACCTTTAGGCCTCGTTGGCAGGCCACGCCAGTGACAGCCTACCCTGTCCTCAGGCTGACATTGCAGGCTACAGGGTGGTGTGGACAACCCCACGTCCTGAGAGGAAGCGCTGGCCAAGGGGAAGAGGTGCTTGCCCAGGCCCAAGTCTGGCGGAGCAGGGTGTGTCCAGTGCAGCGGGCAGAGGGTGACAGGGCACTGTCCTAGCTGCATGGTCCACCCCAGCTGCTCACATGGATGACAATGAGCCATGGACACCACCGTTTCACACCGGCACCCCTGTGGCCGCTGGGTACCATGACTGTGACTAAACCCAGCCCATCTGACAGATGAGAAAATGAAGGCTCAGTGTAAGGTGGCCTTGGAGGCTTGCTCTGAGGTTCCCAGCAGAGAACCAGTATAACCTGGCCTGCATGGCACTTACCTGTGATTGCCACGCTCTTGGTGGGCCTAGCGGTTTAGGTGAAGAGAGAGTGGAGTGTGGTCTGTGGCCAAGGTCCTAGCTGAGTTTGTGGCTGAGGAGGGCGCCACTGAGGATGGAGGTGGGAGGGGAGGGAGGACTTCCTGGAGACCCGAGGAAGGAGTCCATCAAGTCAGAGGGCTGTTTCTAGTCAAAGGCCCTCCTGGAGGGGGCCAGCCTTAGGCAACCTGAACAAAGGCAAAGAATCAGTTCACACCAGCCTTTCCCACTGTGCACCCGGCTTGCCTGTGCCCAGCAACACCAGAGAGTCCAGCTAGATAGAAAGCCAGGAGCTGCCAGGACAGCGGGCACCATGGACCTGGGGAAGGGTCGCCAGAAGATTGTGCGGGTCCCACTGGTCATTCTTGGTAGATGCTGACTTGGGGAGGACCGAGGAGCTGGGCCTGGTAGCACACACCTGTTTTCTCTCCTTACTCGGGAGGCTGAAGCAGGGGGATCTTGAGTTCTAGGCTAGCCTGGGCTATATGAAACCCTGCTGCAGGAAATCGAACCAACGAACAAAACCACCACCCCAAGAAGGGAGCTACGGGTGTCAGTCATTCAGAAGACACCTGCCTAACAAGTGCAGGGTCCTGGGTTCAATCCCCAGGAGGGTAGGGGAAAAAAGAAAATGGGATGAGAAAGAAGAATAAAGCCACTAGGTATTACATTAAATTGTCTGAGGAGATGGTTAACGGAGCCTGTCACCCCAGCTCTGGGGAGGCTGATACATGAAGACTGTACATTCATTCCAGGCAAGCTCTGGACTACACAGTGACACGTTCCTCCTCCTCAAAAACGTACGGCCAATCGAACGTGGCACATGGAAGACGGGGTAAGAGTGACTGCGGCTAGCAGGGTAACGGAGGAACGTGACTCTGAACTCAGACCTCGCATCCAAGCAGAGGAACGAGCTGGAAAGAGATTGCCAGATTCCATCTGGAACACTCGAATAAAATATGTGGACTTGGAAAGCCGCGGTGAGCACTGAACACAGCGATGAAGAGGGCCGGGCTAGCGAGGGTGGCACAGTGAATAAAGGCGCTTGCTGCCAAGCCTGACAGCCTGAGTTCGAATCCCGGAACCCACATGGTGGAAGGAAAGGCCCCACTCATACAAGTTGTCCTTTGACCTCCACACAACCACCGTGGCATGTGCACGCACAAACACACACACACACACACACACACACACCACACACCACACACACACACACACCACACACACACACACCACACACCACACA